GCGCTCTCTCCCCCCGGGCAACTCTGCGGGCCCTGCCAGTCCTGGCTGGAGCTGCCTCTGCGACGGCCGCTCCTTGGGCAGGGTGGATGGATGGGGGCCCGCTGGTTAGCAGTGGCCCGCTGGCCTAGAAATCACCCGCATAACCAGGGGAACGAAGGAAGGGGGCCCATGAAGTGCGTGCCCCAGGCGGCTTCTCTCACTTCCCTCACCCTTTTGCAATAAAGTTGTAAGGAGCACCCGTCCTCTGCCTGTGCCCACTTCCTTGGCTGAGTCAAGGTAGCCAGGAGGGAAGTGCCATGGGAGCAGAGAGGGTGCCAGCCAAAGGTCATCCCCCGTTCATGCTCTGGATCTTCTTGCTTGGCCTTGGAAGAGCTGGCAGAAGCTGTCCCAGAGGTCAGCAAAAGAGCCCTGGGGGCCACTGGAACAGGCCAAGTGCCTCTCGCCCAGCCCACTCTGCTTCCCTCATGGGCCAGGGAGACACCCCCAAGGATGGCGCCCACAGGCAGAACGCGGGGGACTCCGGCACCTGCTGTTGCCCAGAGAGGCTGCTGTGCATCCTTGGAATAAGATCCCCAGGAGCTCTGCAGACAACGGAGAGAGCATCCAAATGATGTCAGGATGCAAGCTCTGATCTCACCGACCTGCATCCTAAAGCCAAACTCCAGGTCTTGTGTAATGACGCACCTTTTGTCATTTGCTCCCTCTTGTGGAGGCCCTGTTGTAACAAGCGGTATTTCACCTTAAGGATCCAGTGCTTCTCTGGATGCAGGTAGTGCTCACGGAGAAGGTTGAAGCGACTCGGTGCCCAGGAGGACGAGTGGCAGCGGGCCCGGCGAGGGCCAGTTCTGCCCCAGCTGTTCCTCATGCCATCAGGTGGCCGAGGCCTTCCTCTTCCCGGGTGTGGGCTGTTTCCCAGAGCTGTTGTTTAGGCGATACGCTGAAAGAGCCACATCGGCAGGCTTGTCTTCTGGACCCCCCGCTGGACGTTCAGACCCTGCAGCCCTGAGAGCAATCTGCTGGCCAGCAGTCTCAGTTGCAGGGTCCCCCATTATCCATATTTGCCTTTTGTACAACTAGCCTGTGGGAGAGGGGTCTTTGCAGGACCCGACACAGAAATTCTCTGTGGCCAAAAAGGAGAGGTTTTATCAAGGTGGGGTGGTTTGAGCCTTGACATGGCTGCACTGGAGGGGACCTGAGTTGTGGGTGGGGGCTGGGTTTCATTTGCTGGTGGCTAGAGTTAAGGGGAGGTCAGCTGAGAGCTTGCAGAAGTTGACCTCCTCTCAGGGTGACTCCTTAATTGGGACTGTGGGGTCCTAGCCCCCTGCCACCCCGTCCCTGCTTTACACACCTGGTTCCCTAATTCCATTCCACCAAGCAAGAGTCACACTGAGATCAGGTCTCTGCTGGTGCCGGCCCCCTCTTCTTCACTGGTCTCTGCCCAGAGGCTGGGACCCAGCTGTTCTAGTCTGAGGCTGTTGCTGGAAAATACCACGTCTGTCTGAAGTAAGGCTCTCTATGTATGACATCATGTGGAGTGGACCTGGCCCACATCACCGAAACCTGGTTGGCAGTAATGAGGATGCACCCTCGCAGGTTTCAGTACAAGGAGCGATCATGACCAGGCACAGGTCCAAGTCCATAATCAGGACCACGCAATGGCAACGAGGGCAGCAAAGCAGGCTCACCTCTCCATCCTTACTGCGTCTGCGAATCATCTTCAGGATAGCCTGCTCCCTACTGGAGTCATACTACTAGATTCTTCAAGGATAAAAATCACACTTGTTTAGATGGCACATGGACAGCTTCTAGTGTGGTGGCTGGAGTAAGGTGGTCCCTGTGGGCCTGCAGAAATCAAGGAAGTGGGTAAGATTCTCTGTAGCTTGAGTACCACGAGAAGAGAGGGCAGGACGCTGCTGGCTTTGGAGGTGGAGATGGTACCTCTTCTTGAAGAAGCCATCTTGATCCAGCCTTACCTGAGAGCGTTGTCCTGCCTCCTGCCTTTCCTTCCTAGAGAAGGCTGTGGAGAAGGTGGCTCAGCTTCAGAAGGTTATCTGGGTCCTTTTCCGTTGGGATTCAGGCCTGGGCAGGGAAGGGAGGGTCACTCGCTGCTCTGGTGAATGGCTTGCAGTGGGGTGTTGGTGGGGACGTGCCCCTGCTGGTCGTAGGCAGGGATGGGGAGCAGAGGGCACGTTAGCAGGGCTCTTTCCTAGGTCAGCGGGCAGTTCCAGTCAGGAGTGGCCTAGCCACTGGCAGTACAGCATGGGGTGCCCCAGGGCTCAGTCCTCCCCTTAATACTTTTCAACATCTAAACAAAGCTACTGGGGGAGGGCATCCACTAGTTTGCTGTCTGGGGTATCTGGACCAGAGATGATGTGGCAGTCCTAATAGCGTTTGGAGGTTAAAGAGGTCTAGAAGAGGTCAAGCAGCTTAAACCAGCAAGGCTGACGCTCTCCAGAAACATGGTGGCTCTGGCAGCGTTAACTGTGGGTGGGTTCTCACTCCCTGAAGAAGCTGGTCCACACTTTGGAGATTCTGCTGGAACAGCAGGGTAAGCTATAGTGAGGGGGGCCTTTGCCCAGCAGTGGCTGGTAGGCTAGTTGTGACCTTGCCTGCTCAGGAGGCTTTGGCAACAGTGACTCATGCCTTTCTCATGTTGCATCAGCCTTACTTTGAAAATGATTTGGAAGTTTCAGGTGGTACAAATGCAGTGGCTGCGAGTAGCTTCTGGATTAAAATTAATGACACGAAGCCACACGCCGTTTGGGGATTCACAGAGGTCCATTATCCCCTTTTCCAGAGCGTAACCTTTGGACACACCAGCTCAGCTTCCTCCATGCCGCTCTCTGCCCTGAGGGGCCTAGCAGCAGGACCAGGGCACAAGAGGCACCTGAGAGGGCGTACTGGGCTTTTGTTGGGTCAGAGGGCTGTTGACTGAAGCAGCCACTCCAAGGGCTCCTTCCAGCTCACCAGAAGAAGATGTCTTCTTGGCTCCTCAGAGGTCGCTTCTGCCTTTCTGAGCTCACATCTCTTCTGGTCTACAGGGCATTCCCAGGGCGGTCTGCTTCCTACAATAGTCCTTTCTCATAGAGTCAGGGAAGCCACCAGCCTTTTGAACACTGGAGGACTTGGGAACATTGGTTTATGGCAGAAGCTTTCACAGATTTGAGTCCAGGTAGGCTGATGCAGCATCCATTGAAGTGACAGGAAGGAGGTTTGGCACAGGCCAAAGAAAATACTCGCACAACACACAATTACCACAAGATGAGGTGATGGCCTCTAACTTAGCTGGCTTTGAAAGGGTGGGCTAAAGCCACAAAGGACAGATCAGTCAAGGGCTGTTGGTCAAGAAGACTCAATGTTACCCCCAAATACCAGGTACAGGAAAACAATGGAATAGGAGAAGGTCTCCAGCTGTTTGCAAGCTGATGAGAGGCCCTGTGAAAAACACACGGGCCTTGGCATGATCCAACCGGGTTGTTTTCTGAGGTTGATGGAACTTAGCAGCTCCCTGGTCCTTCCCACCCAGCTACACTTGGGCAGGGCTGTGCTGCTGCAGCTGGTCTCCAAAGAGCTGTTTCCCAAGAGAGTTTTGCCCTAGAGCAATCAAGGGGGTGCTGATTCCTCCCAACCAGCCCTGTCTCTCTTCCCCCGATTTGGCAGTGCCAGTTCTGCAGGTGCAAGAGGCCAATCGGGTTCAGCTGGTGCAGATGCAAACTATTTTAATGCGTGCCTGGGCCGTGAGTGGAAGGTGGAGGGAGGTAGCTTCACTTCCTCCCTGACTGCTGCAAAACAGCAGGAAATTAAATGGGTGGGAGCTGTGTCTCCGGAGAGCTTCCGATGAAGAACTCGACCAACTAGTTCTGCTCGCATGCGCCGTTGCTTGTACATCCCCCCTCTGGCCCGGCTTTCCAGATCTTTCCCAAATCCATACCATTAGAAGAACCCCTTCTTGGCTGGAGCTGGAGCTGAGAAGCAGGGCAGCAAAGAGGGCTGCCGGTGGTCTGCTCCCCGACTGGAAGGAGGCCTGCTGACCATGCACCAGCCGCCCACGCCTGCTTTAAGGAAAAGAAGAACTGGCCTTGCCCGCCCTGCCCAGCACTGTAGTTGCCCAGCCTGAGGACGAGAGGATTGGCAGCCCAGAGCATTAAGGGGCTCTGGTTTGGTGCCTGGTCAGATTCCAGGTTCCAAAAATAATAAGAAGAAAAAAATACTGTAGACCTCACCTGGTCCCCAGAAAGTAGAGACCAGAAGCGTTTATGATCTGCTCTTGGGCCTTTGCTGCTGATGCGGCTAGAAGGAAGCAGGAACCCTCTGACAAGCGGCCTGTGTGTTCAGGGTCCAAGAATCCAGGGTAGCTTGGACGATCACACACGTGTTAATTTCAGGAACACCAGTTTCTTACTTGGGTTTATCTGCTGCTCTCTGAGCCAGTGCAGGGTGGTGGTGAAGGTGCTGGACTAGGAGCAGAGTGTCAGCCTTGCGAGGTAGTCCAGACGAGAAGCACACCCAGAAGCACCAGCTCTATTGTAAAGTTACATGAGCAGAATCTTGCAAGCACGAAAGTACATCTCCCCCCCACCGCCTTTACAGTCCAAGAAACTAGGGAGGGCCCCTTCTGAGATGTTTGCCAGACCCCCATTCCTTCTGCGGACTCAGCTGCTTCTTACCTGATCATTGCCTATTCTGTGGCTCTTCCTCCTGTCTCCAGCGTCATCCCCATGCATCATTATACAGAGAGGCTGGAG